CTATCTGTGTCAGTTAAGGATCGGTCGTTGCATTGGACTCTAGGCAAGTCACAGACTTATTATCCCGAGCACATACTTGTGTATGGGCACAGGGAAGGCTTGTTGCTCTCTTGTTGTCGGTTCCGGTTCTTTCTAGACCGACTGATTAGAGGCGGGGATGGTGGAGGTCTAAGCATCGCACTGAGTCTGGGACTCAGGAGCTCAGGAGCGGGGGTTTGGAGTCCAAGTTTGGACGGGGACCTAGACCCGTGACAGGAGAGTGGTGGGTTGGTCCTGCTTGTGCCTAGGGTATAAGCGGGGCGTGTGTTTCGGGGTACCCAGCTGGGCACATTGATTCACAAATCGCCGGCGATCCAGTATGGCTTGTCTACACTCTAGCACTGTAGTAAGAACTGAAAGATGAAAGGTGGTGAAATGAAACTGTTTGCTCAACTTCTGTTTGAAAGTAGAACAGGTGCTTACATAGAATGGCTAGATAATGTAATAATCATGACCGCTAAAAATAAACTTACATAAGGATGTACTATTAGTATTGTTTTCTGCAAAAAAGGAAACCCAGCAAACCATAAAGCTTATCATATTCCTTGGAGTCGAGAAATTATTCCCACTAGTCGGATAAGTCTTGCGAGTACATTGTGTACTCAGGGTTTATTTACCTCTGTTGCAGGTACTGCTTGAGGAGTAGCCGTTGTGTGAATGATTCTTCTGGTGGGCACAGACGGATCCTTGTATATTATCGATAGATGTTTTTTTTCATTCCGCTGTTAAATAACCGCACTCTGAATTTGGTACTGTAATAATATATTTATAAGAACTCTGGATGTATGAAATTGACTAAGTAATGCAAACTCGTTATCATTATTGGATCCTGAAGGAAAAATATGGATTGTTCGGGCTCTCCCTTAGGGTGTGCTCGACGGAATCTGCCCGATGTAGCTCGTTCTGGGGGTGCTTAGTGTCTAGTGGAAGACAAACGTCTCCGTAAGTACGTTATCTCGGACGGTTATGCCACAAACGTTCTATCCAAGTTTGCATAAAAATCTGGTGACATGCAAAAAAAACAATTGAAAAACAAGTTAGATGTTTTGAAAAAAAAAGAATATTCAATGTTTATGGAGTTCAAGAACTATGCCACTGGGCTTGGATAGGATGAGACAAAACTAACTGTTGACTGCCAGAAGGAATGGTGGGATGAACGCCGGTAAGAACTATACTGTCATTGTAAATTTTTTCCCATTCTTTATTATGGTGTGCCTTGCTAATTTTTTTATTTAATTTTAGAAATGCAACAATCGTGGCATATCACTTTGATTGATGAAAAATTTAGAAAAATTATTTTTCCCTTTCCAAAATAGTCATTTGCATGCGAATTAGTGAATAGATTAATTTTTTACATCTAATTTGCATATAAACAGTACCTCATGCCTTCAGGGGCATTACAAGTATTTCATCCAAAGCCTACAGTTTCGTAGCTGCTCTGACAAAATGGCTTTCTGGTTTTTCTATAGCCCACAGCTCACAGTAACTCTTTCAAAAGCCATAACTCAACCAAACATGACCAAAGTATTCTTGAATTATGTGCTAGCAAGCTTTTCCCTTGCTTTTGGCCGGAGACTAGTTTTGGCTCTCCTCTGCTAGCAAGGTGAGGCTAGTTTGGGCAAGCAAGGCTAATCAATTCTAGCCCAGCAACCAAACGTCCCCGAAGTTTCCCGCGCCACTGTTTCCATGGCTACCACGCGTCGCGTTGAGCTTCGCGCCGCCCTGGCCCCGCCATTGGCTGCCACCGCCATCTCCATAGACATCACCACCACCTCGGCCACCGAGCTCCGAGGCGCTATGGCGCCACCCTAGGCCACCACCAACACGTCGACGGCCTAACCAAAACAGCTTTAGTTGTGGCTTCATCTGTGGAGTAGATTCACTAGGGGAGCTGAAGCGCTTTTGTGGACCGTTTGGTAAAATAGCTTCTCCACGTAGATAATAAAAGGATAAAATGACCCTGTTACCCTTTTTTTTCTTTCCTATTTTGTTCCTTTGTTTTATTTTCCTCTCTCTATTTGATTTCAGTTAGTACTATTTTTCTTTGAGAAAAAAAAACACACTAGTACATTGCCTTATCCGTTCGCTTACGAGGACCACATATCCATCCGTCCCCTGCCTCGCCCTTTCCATGTTCGAATCTCTCTGTTTCTTCCATTCGAGTGCGAGCGGCCGAGCCATGGGGCCTGAGGGGCATCGCCGGCGTGCGCTGCGGCGGCACACGAGCGGCCAGTGAGCTGACCCGTCCGGCGCCGCGGAGGAGCTGTGCGCATGAGCGGCGGAGGGAGCCTCGCCGGCCTCGTCCGCGCCGTCGTCGTCTCGCGCCACCAACGCCTAGCGCCGCCGTCATCCGCGCCCGCCGTCGTCGTCTCGCACGGCCGCACCGCGCCGGGGCAAACAAGGAAGGGAGCCGCGCTGGACCCACGAGATGGAGAGGGAGCCGAGCGAAGCTAGTATTTTTTGGCTCCTCTTCTCTCTCCTTGGCTCCTTGCCCCTCTCAGCGGGATATCCGGGGCTCCTGTGGTGGAGCTGTGCGTCGGGGACCCGTTTGGTTGGCGCACTCGGGGGGCTGCTCCTGGAGCCCTACCAAACGCCCCCTAAGCCTGAGGCTGGATATCTACCACGTTGAGCCGGAGCGGGAAGTTGGATATCTGTCTCCTCCTTCGAATCGGCATGTCAGCAGCAACGAGGAGGTGCAAATCTATTTTTTTTTTGTTCACCTGTCGACTCTAAAACTCGAATTGTTTTTATCCCTCACTCCTCAATGCATCGTCTCCTGTAGTGGTGGATTCGCTCTTTCTTGTGTGCGGGACATTTAACTTTTTGCCATCGTCTCCTGTGGTGGCATTCGTTTGCCATTTTTACACGGGTATTTATATATTTATCATCGTAAACAGTAACATTCTTAATTTTTTTGTCATTTTTGCTGATATGACATGCCACGCAGTCAGCCAGCATGGCTGCGCCTCTCCTCCCGCTGCTGCTTCTCTCTTCCTTCACTCGCTGACATGTGGGCTCCACCCGGTAGGCCACCGGAGAGTGGGCGAGCATGCGTGGGGAGGGGGACCATGTTCGTGTGGGCGCTCTTCCTTGTGGCCATGACGGCCACATACCTGAGCGCGCTGGCACGTGCGCGCACGCCTCCAGGCGTCGCAGCGCCTTGCCGTGGCCGCCCCCGCCGCCAATCCCACCGTGCCCCGCTACAGTGTGGCGGTCATGGCGACGCGCGTGGAGGCGAGGTCGTGGGCACAGGCCAGGAGCACCCGCGCGGCGCGCGGGCGTGCCTCCGACCCCGACGCGAGGCCCGTCCGCTTGGCCCACCCCTCGAGCATCGCCTCGGACGCCGCCGAGTCGGTTGTGGGCACGCAGGAGGTCGCCACGGACTCGTACCCGTCCTCGTCCGGCGCCGGCGATCCCGCGACCGCGAGGAGGAGGCGCGTGCGGCCACTGCGGTGGTGTCGCGACGCAAAGGGAGTTGGCGCCGTGCACCTTGACGTCGCAGGCGGCGCGGAGGAAGGCCACGTCCGACGCGCAGTGCATGGCCGCGGGCGCGCCGCAGAGCTCGCAGCAGCATCCTACGGCGCCGCCGTGGGGGTGACCCATCCCCGCGCTTGTAGCCTTCTCCGGTGGCCAGAGGTTGAAGATGAACCTGACTAGTGGGGCCCACATGTCAGCGAGTGGAGGGAGAGAGAAGCAGCAGCGGGAGAGGCGCTGCCACGCTGGCTGACTGCGTGGCATGCCATATCATAAAAATGACAAAAAAAATAGAAGTGTTACTGTTTGCGATGATAAATATGTAGGTGCCCATGTAAAAATAGCAAACGAATGAGTGCCATTCAAAAAAAAAAGTTAAATGTCCCTTCTTGTGCCATCTCGTTGATGCGTCGGTTTCAATTCTCCAATGGAGAAACCCTCACGGGCCGTGTGTGCGTGAGTCGACAAAATCACCTTTAGGGCGTGCAACAAGATACAGTAACCAAATCAGCACAGAGGGGCCGACATGGGATGAATGTGCGGTGGAGAAGGCGTCGCCTGTAAAGCAACAGTCATCACAAGATGGTCGCATCATTGGAAGGGAAGTCGGAGCTCCTCAGCCTCTCACCTCACGCACAAGCACAAAAGACAGCGTCTGGTTCATTGCAGCCCTCCCTGTCCCTCGTCCCTCACGGTCACGGGCCGTCTGTGCGTACCGCCGCACTCAGCCCAACACGTCGCTTCCGATGTCCCGACCCGTGACTCCCGCACTCCGTCTCACTCTGCTCTCTGCTGCCTCCCGTGATCACTCACCGGCCGCCGCGCTACCTAGGACTGTGGGATGATATCATGAGAGCGACCGGGATCCGACGAACAAAACCAGTGCAACCAGAGCCGCGAGTTGGAGGTGGTGGCAGCTGTGGGCAAAACGGCCAACGGCCAACGGCAGGTACGACGTAGACCTCTAGTCGCTCGTGGTGTAGGATGTCGTCGGCATGTCGCTCACAATTTAGGCTATGTTCGTTTCTACTGTAATCCATCTTTTTCGGTTTGTTTTTTTAGCTGAAACAGTGTTTTTTTCTCTCACAACAAATCACCCGGACAGTGTTTTAACTTGTTTTTTTCAGCGAAGCGAACGGGTCATTAATGAACAAAATAGATTCAGTATTTGCGAACATAAGGCCTGTTCGCTTGAACTTATCAACCGACTTATCATGTAGAATCTACGATATTTTTCTCTCATAAAAAAATAGCTTTTAATACTAGCCGAACAGCCCGTAGCCTCTCCATTGCGGTACCAGTACTTAGTCTCGTTGTCGTATTCAAAACCAAACTTCGGTACTTATTAGCCACATCAGTTCCTGTACACGGGGGCGAATCCACACCAACATACTTCTACCTTTCAATTCTACACAGACATCGCGCTTGCTATTGCTTTCGTGACCGGAGCATTGCCATCTGCAGAGCTCCGCCACTGGTCGTCGACGATGAGGCCGCCGCCGGAGACAAATACGCGGCCGCAGCTACGTCGTCCTCGTCCAGTGCCATTGGTGACGGTGGCCGTGTCCGTGGCGCTCGTCTCGCTACTGTGCCTTCCTGTCGCCGCGGACGCAAGCAGAGCGCTGCACTACAGCCGGGACGAGCACCGGAGGCACCAGCACCACCGTGCGAGGGAGAGCAAGAAGAACAACCACGTCTCGCTTCCTCCCGACGCCGACGGCGGCGATTCTCCGCCCGAGCCTCCGGAAGCTGGCGGCGCCGGCGCGCCGCCGCCGCCGCTCCCACCGCCTGCCGAGGACGACGACTGCGGCGACGTGTTCGACGTGAGGGCGTTCGGCGCGTCGGGCGGCGACGACGGCTCGTGCAGCGACGACACGCTCGCGTTCCGCGCGGCGTGGAAGGCGGCGTGCTCCTCCGACTCCGCCACGGCCACGCTGCTGGTGCCGTCCGACGGCGTGTTCACCATCAGCTCCACCATCTTCTCCGGGCCGTGCAAGCCCGAGCTCACCTTCCAAGTAAGCTTGAGGAGTTCCATTGCCTCTCCTCGCAAAATTAATCATCGACCCAAGCCAGCATGGCCCAATTTTCACGCTCGGTGCCGTGACTGTGCACCAGATCGACGGCGTCCTGATGCCGCCGGACGGGCCGGCGAGCTGGCCGGCGACCGACAGCCGGAAACAGTGGATCGTCTTCTACAAGGCCGACCGCTTGACGCTGGCGGGGGAAGGCACCATCGAAGGCAACGGTGAGGAGTGGTGGGATCTCCCGTGCAAACCTCACAGGGTACTCCTACTCTTCTCTTCCGCGGTGCATTAGTCAGTCAGTCCTCTCCTCCTCGTGCCATGCCGAAATCAATGTGTCACGGAGTTGAGTTTACCCCGAAGAAACATGCGTGACGTTTGGGTCTGTGTCCGTGCATGTCCAGGGTCCAAACGGATCGACGCTGCCCGGACCATGTGACAGCCCTGCGGTAAACCTCGCCGGCCGGCCACTTGGATTTCTTCCGATCCTGTTGTGTTTTTGTCGAATCCTTGACGACCTGTTCGTGGAAATCGTGTGGTATCTGCAGCTCATACGATTCTTCTTGAGCAACGACGTGACGGTGTGCGGCCTGCGGATCGAGAACAGCCCGCAGTTCCACCTCAGGTTCGACGACTGCGAGCGCGTGCGCGTCGACGGCCTCTTCGTCAGCTCGCCGGCGTCCAGCCCCAACACGGACGGCGTCCACGTCGAGAACACCACGTCCGTCCAGATCCTCAACTCTAGGATCTACAACGGTAAGCTGAAACAGTGACTGGACACGCATACTCAAGATTGAATCAACTCTGTATCAAGTTTCCATCAAACTCTGAGCACCACCTGTCAATGCAGGCGACGACTGTGTCTCCATCGGCGCCGGATGCTCCGATGTCCACATCGAGAACATAACATGCGGCCACGGCCATGGCATCAGGTACCTGTCAGTCACTCAACAACGTGCTTCCATGGCGGAACCATTCGTAGTGAGCATGACGCGGCAAGCTGTTGTCATCCTCGCAGCATCGGCAGCCTGGGTGTCCACAACACGCACGCCTGCGTGTCCAACATCACGGTCCGGAACGCTCGGATCCTCGACTCCGACAACGGCCTCCGGATCAAGACGTGGCAGGGCGGCACCGGCGCCGTGTCGGCGGTCGAGTTCGCCGGCGTGCAGATGCAGAACGTGAAGAGCTGCATCGTCATCGACCAGTACTACTGCCAAGGCCACGGGTGCGCCAACCAGACCTCCGCGGTGCGCGTGGCCAGTGTCACGTACCGGGACATCCACGGCACGTACAACCCGCAGGCCGGCGCGCCCATCCGCCTCGCGTGCAGCGACGCCGTCGCCTGCACGGACATCACCATGTCCGGCGTCGAGCTGCTGCCGGCCGGCGGAGACGACGGAGCGCTGCTCGCGGACCCCTACTGCTGGAACGCGTACGGAGTCATGGAGACGCTCACGCTGCCACCAGTGTACTGCTTGCTAGAAGGCAGCCCGGAGTCTCTCCAGGATCCGCTCACGAGTTGCTGAGATGACAATTGTTTTCCTCACTAACAAAGCTGTGTCCTGTGACAGTAAATGCTAATACACTCGATATTCAACATATTACAAATTACAAATAGGCAAACAGTGTGAATTTCTTGAATGGCATGCTCTCAGCTACTGAAATCTGAGCTGCAATGAATTCAAGAGGGTGAAATACGCAGTCGAGTCCTCAAAAACTTAAATAGATTCGATATTCTTGGTCATCCAAGTAAAAAGACGCCAGCTTAAGATACACAATGACGAAGAGTCTCGGTAGATTCTAAGAAAAATGTAAGGAGGACAACACCAACAACCGGAGAGTTGGTCACTGGACGAAAAAGATGCAGAATTCTTTGCCAAAATTTTGCTGGACCACGAACAGGTACAGCTATGACGTGCCTCATTAGACAGAACAAGCATCTTGGCCTCCATCTGTTACATCCTAAAGAAGCTGGCTACAACATCCTGAAAGGAGGGCCTTTAGCACAAATATATACATCGCAAGTCTCATACAGAAGCACGTTATGTTATGCAACTATAAACCGTAATTCTGCATCCGACCCGATCATAATACTCGCCTATACTTTTCGCGAGGCAAACTAACTTGATTGCCTGTATTGGTATAGATGATCTTGAACAGTAAATCGCCTCAGTTGAGAATCCGCCAAAATGTGTCATTCAGACTTCACGGATAGCCTCTCTGCAGGTTCGGAATATGAAAGAAGAAAAAAGTTAATAGACCTCCCAGACTGAAATATATAGGTAATAGATTTACTGAAAAATGGCCTACTTATGAGCTCATATGTCACGATCATTGATGTGCCCCAGAGAGACATGTTAAGAAACCTCGGTCCAAAACCTCTATAAAACCCCCTCCAGCCATCTTCATCAAGCAGCAGCCTGGTAGTTTTCATGACAGAAGGCCTACCCTTACCATAGTTGTCCATAACCTGAAATCACATGCAAACGATGAACACTTGATGATGGAATCCTCACAAGTATCATGCATGATAATAGTTCCTTCTGACAGTAGTTAGCTACTTAGCCGTGCCAACATTAAGTTCGGGTACATATCCTATGTAGCAAAGGTGGAACGTTAAACAGACAACTCAAAGAGAATCTGCATATCCTATGTAGCAAAAATGGATCAACTCCTAGTCCAAAAACCTTGTCTGTTAAATAAGATAGTAACAGATAGCTGGGATGCTAGGTTTCTTATACCAGAAAAATAACGTGCTAGCAAAAATAAACATGACGAATGCCATAGGAAACTAGAGTCTGCAAAGATACATAACCACATGTTCAGAAAAACAATTAAACTTACCTGAAGCCGAGTCTTGATGGTATCTATTGGAGTGGTGATAATCGACGAGCAAGCACCAGCAATTGTTCCTGCTGTCGCTTGGACAGCAACAAGTTCTGATTGAGATGGTTTTGTTGGTGAGTCATTTCCATAACCCAAACTCCTATTTTAGGATTGCAAGAATATTAATCAAAGATGGCACTAATATCTTTGTAGGCACAATGAACAATAATGTTAAATAAAAAATACACAAACCTCCAAATAGCATGTTGAGCACCACCATATGCGCTCCACCAAAGGGCTGAAGCTGGCGACTGAGTCAACATAGTGATTCCAAAACCTCGGTAAAGGCCCCGGATCCCTTCTGTTCTGACAACCTTATTTATCACATCAAATGGGCCCCTGTATGTTGCCATCCCTGGCAATCCTTGAACCATGAGCCTTTGGCAAATCTGTAAGTTCAGAAATATGGAAGAGCATCATGTAAATTAGATAACAAAGGATGTCATATGGAAAAATGCTTTTAATCAGCTTGTTGTGAAGAACTATAATATTGTGTAATGGAATGGATTTATATGAAGAAATTATTCCTAAAGTGGTCAGCCCTTGTTCTTGTACAGAAAGATAGATATAGTCATATAGGAACTTCATGAAATAGTACAACGATCACGATGTGACATGTACCTAGCTATACATCATAAAGCGACATAATGCTTAAACTTACAAAGAAATCTAAAGAGAATATAAAGAGTTGATAGGGTTTCAACTTCCAAGCAATTGCAACATGATAGCTTCACTACAGAAGTATCACCCAAAAGTAAAATTATCAAATCAATTGAACGTTTCTGTGTTGATTGCTTCATGTGTCATGTATCAGATATCCAGATTTATGCTCTTATATCCTCCGTTGGACCTAACTTACAGAAACGTGGGTGCACTGCAGGTCCTAAACTTATTAAATGGTGCACTACAGGTCCATTTCTGGACCATACCAACCATGTGGGTGCACCACTTAACAAGTTTTGAAACCCAGAAACACGTTTTCAAAGTGTGGACTTAACTGGCACTGGCACCCTTAACAAGTTCAGCGGTGGCCCATGCATTTAACTCTATATTCAACAAACTTGTAACATGCTGTTGGTGATTTGGCTAATAGTTAAAAAAGGGGCGTGCAGTGTGAGAGCTCCCGCCTGTAGCGGGTCCTGAGAAGGTGTCATTGGCAAAGCCTCACGGACTGTGCAATGCGAGGAGACCGCGACTCGAACCGGGACCTTCCGGTCACAGGCGGTAAGACTCTACCGCTTACACTAGGCCCGCCCTTCAAAAGTTGGACTTATGACAATATGGAGATAGTGTGAAAGAAAGCTCACCACATCTAGAGGCACAAAATATGAGCATGAACAGATGCTCGACATCAGGCCTGCAACGCCATTTGCTACAGCAATTCGTGACGCCTCTGACATATCAAAATGTTCACAATACTTAAACGTCATTTCTTTAGAGATCTCTAGTGATGTTAGAGCTAGCACTTTCGCCCAGGTAGAGCTCCAACAGCAGAGGTGCCAAATCCTCTGAAAATGCCAGGGATGCCATCGCTTCTCAATATCCTCCTAAAAACAGTAAACCCAGACATATGTGCAAGCCCCCTTCAGCAACCTGCATCCTAGTCTTCACAACAGCTGTTGGGTGCAGAGCACCTTGCTGGGCCGTAAACAGTATAGCTCCAATCACATGAAACCTCGTCTTGTCCAACCTTCAGCGTGATACAAAAAGATAGCTACATCAGTTACAGGAATATGTAAATTGATATTTTCTTTATAGATTCGAAGTCCACAATTTTATGCAGATTGCCATGTTGCCAGCATGACATTTCCAAAATAGCATGCAACTCTACAGGCCTTTGAATAAAGGTGACATGAAAACCAAAATTACTGTTCATCACATCACTGATGACAAAGATGCAGGAATAATTACAGTTCCAAAATGTGATTTTAAAGGAATTTTATGGGCCCTAGAGTGATCTACAACCATTAGGGGTATCTGAACTTCTTTCTTCACTTAAAGTAATTCTCCAAATATTTCTACATGTACAAACTTTGAAGAACTTTTTGATGCATAGAAGTTCATGAAATCTTGATGGGTGTAGACTTCACAAATGAATCTCCCATTCTTTTAAAGGCAAAACTCAGTACTGTGCGTCAGCGGTTGCCCGTCTAATAGAAATTGACTTGAAAGTTGAAAATTCATATGACACAGTGGAGAACAAGTACATAAGATCTCAGAAAAAAAAATCCAAGCTATGGCTTGAATTAAGGACTTCAGAAGTACACTTAGAATCTGAAATCTAGCAAAATAATACGTCATATATAAAAGCTAAAAAATTGGATTTCCTTACTCAACTCAGTGTCAAATCTCCCTACAAAGATGAACAAACATGTCTACATGTTAATCGCACGAGTTTGAAGCAGATAGAAGTACATTAACTACCAGCCTGTGAACCTAGCAGCCACGGCTGGAATTGGGGAAATACAATCGATTCCTCTCCAACACGTCAAGTTTTGCCAATTAAATTTACAGCTTTCCAGAAGACCCAAGTTCCGTTCCCCGTCCACATCTGCGGCACTGATCTCGTGGACCTCTCCCGCACCCCCATCCCAGCACAAGGTTGGGAAAAGACGCAATGCGCCCGTGAATCACCTTCCTGTCACCCACGCTCCCTGGCTGCCCATTCGGCCATTCCTCATCCTTGCCCCGTGCCGAGCACGGGAACAAGAGGCGGGCTGAGAGCCCAACCAAACTAAGAGCACGCTGCCGATCCAGAGACGACCAAAAGATGCGAGGCCGCAAACGTAAACCGCCTGCCAGGATGAAAAGACTCCTCTTTTCGATTCTTATTAACTCTCTAAGAAGGGGGACGTGGCGCGTACCTCTCCCAGTTGATGTTGGCCTCTGCGAGCGCGATCCCTGCTGCGGACGCCTCCGAGGTATCCGCCGCCACCGCCGCCATGGACGCACCACACGCCTACACACAGGAGGCGGCTCCGGGAGAGGAAACAAATAGAGAAGAAGCAGAGCGGCGTTTGGTAGGTGCTGCTCCTCACTTCCGTGAGTGTTTCCGGTGCGGATGAAGTGGTGTCGGCGCCGCTGCGAGCGAATTTGCGCACGGGGAAAAGAAGGCAGCGGCGGAGGCCGGAGGGGGGGAGGAAGGAGGCGGACGGAGCCAGTTTTGGTTGTTGGAAGTTTCCAGCAGGGTCGGAGCGCGCTGCCCAACTTGCCATTCGTCCGGCCTCGCCTCACTGACCTGCGGGGCCTGAATTGGGCCCGGATCGTAGTGGGACCGGAGAGTGGGGCCGGGCGGAGCGTGTGGTAGGTGTTTCTCGCTTTCCTGCTCTCCCCGGGGAGGCGGAGCCGAGGAAAGCTGCACCAGCGAGGCGGAAGGGGGGTGGGGGGGCACCGCACGTGTCACGCGCCTATTGAGCCTTGCTGTCAACCTCGCCACGTGGGTCAAAAAAGGTTGGTGGGCGACCTTCTTTTCGTTTCTGTTGTTTCCACAACCCCGCATTGCGTAGGTTTTTGAAAAAAACAACCACCACCCCGCATCGCGTGGCGCGCTGAATCAATGGCGCGTGCCTCCGCATGAACAATCGTTCTTCTAGGTGGTGTTTGGTTGACATAAGGAAACGCAAACACAAAGGAATGGGGGTAAACGGCGCTAACGTAAACATGCTAAGAAATTCCGTGATTTCATTCTCTCAACTCGGCGACCACATGAGCGCATCCTCGTGAGCGAACGGTGGACCCACAGTGCCTAGGCTAGCAGAGATGACATCCAGTATCCGATAGCGTCGCGGTTCGAGCGTTGTGGATCCGATATCGGTGTGATCCGATTACACGAGGCTTAAAACGAACACTATCCAACGGCATCAATTACCCTCCGTAAACAAGTTACGTTACAATCATCCGAACCAATCATTGTGTAAGATCCCATTTGATTTCTCGAATTCTCTTGTGTTCGGATCAAAGTCTTGCAATCATTTTTATTGTACTAGTTGTCCTTGTCAAAAGGAAAAGGCCCTTTAATTCTGGATTAATCTGTCACTTTCAGATTTCAGAAAATTAACCTCGGAACACAAGAGCAACTCCACGAGCATATAGAAATTTAGATTTCTAAAAACGATTCTGCAAACTAATATAGACACTCAAAATAAATATGGTCCGCGCCAGGTTTCCGTAAATCGGGCTCTTTGTTCTTCTTTCCATTCAGGTCACCTCAAGCATGTTGTCACACTCGTCCTCTCATCTCATTCGTACTGCGAGAGGTGTGGGGTGGCTCCTCAAAATATTAGCGGCCTAAGTATAAGGTAATTAAAATATTAATGGTGCTTGATTATTATATTTCTAATGCATTTCAGCATCTTGCTAAGTTTTTTTTTTCAATCGTGCATGTCATATCCAGTTCATATGCAAACGTACAAGGAAATTTTCATTAAGGTAAAAGTTCTCAAAACTCTTAGTAGTGTTTCCATAAACCCCAAAGTGTTCCATGTTTACTGATCATCATTTCAAATGCACGTGTACACCTCTTTGGCTTCCTATTCTTTAGAAAAGGGAAAGAACGATTCCATTCATTATGGACTGAAACATCTCGAAAATAGAAGGACGGTAGATAGTAAAGAAAATGACTAATCATAATATCTATCTTTAAAAGATTCAATAAAAAGACTGTTGGCGGATCTCTTTGTATGTCTTGTCCAGAAAGAGAAGGACTTAATGATTATTCGTCCGTTTGAATCAGAAGTTAAAATTGTTGTGGATAGGGATCATGTACCACAATCCCTTAAGGTTATCCTGCGATTGGAAGAACTAGGAAAAGAAAAAAAAAATATAGTGATAGTTTTATTCTTCGTCGCCGTAAGTAAATACTACGTAACTAGGATCTGACGACGAGCTGATTATTGACTTGTTGCTATTGGACACTACTTGTTACTTTGGCCTAGTCAAAGTATAGTAGCGTGAGTCGCTGCCAGCGAGCGAGTGTTGCGGCAGCCGCAAGACTCTGTTTCAGTATTACTGGTTTGCGCTGATGGGCACAAATTCAGACAGTTAAAATCTGAGCTCTCGTTAAGTCAGTACTCCAAGCCGTAAATCACGCACCAAGTTTTGATATAGTTTGATGCACAAGCTGTAGCTGTTAGCCAGAGTAACAACTTTTAGTGGTAATAATATATGTTTTAAGAAAATAATAAATGGTCACATGAGGTTCACGTAATAGCAGTTGTACTCTGTATACTCGTCAGTGTCCATCTCTTTCGGTAGTATGAAGATTAGAAAAAAATATATATCTTAATAACTGGAGACACTACGAGATATGTTAGTGAGTTCTCTGAACCATTTTGTCATGGAATGATTTCTAAATAAACTGGATATAAGAAACCCTGTTGTTTTCTATTCTTTAGAGTAAATGACAAATTTAATTTAATATATCTCTTTCATATCTTTTTCTACAATTTCCACCTTGGACGAGACGTATTGCATAATTCATGTAAATTCATTGTCTCTGCTTATTTTATTCGAGTGCTTATTTGGATTTTATTGGAATTAACGTGTAGACAAGACGAACTACAACAAGGCAATATCAGCAAGTTTAGATCGTGAAAATTTCTCCAACTGAGCACGACCCTATTGTTTTCTATTCGAATTAACGTATTCGCTAATTGAACGCAAGGGCCAGCACGACCCTGCCAGCAAGAGTTTCTCCAAGAACCACAACAAGGCAAGCAAACCATAAAATATTGGCAAAAGAAAATTTATTAAGTTGCATTGTTTAAGAAATTATTATGTATATGTTATGTTTAAATTTCTCCTGGGAATGGGATTTGTCCATAGGATGGTCAATGCTTGTAGGTATGATGTATGTCGGTCATCAGCAAGTTTAGATCGTGAAAATATATTGGGGATGAGCTTTTTGTCTCATGTGTGGTTATTAACATGAAACGTCCTGAGCCACATAAGGACCGGTACTTTGTGTCTTGACTTAAGAGAAAATCGTACAACCACAGGTGTTGTTATGGGACAACTGTAGCCGAGTACCTATCCCACACTTTGATTTCCTTGAAGATCCTGACTCCGGAGCACAGATATTCCAGGGATGTATGGTATCTGCAAATCAGATACTATGGCAAATCATGACATGAGGCCTCGACTTCATAAAAGAGCAAAGTTACTATGCCAGGTGACCACGAAAATGCTCGAGATATCCTTAAAATGAAACTTCCTGAAGTCAGGGCCGACTCTACAATTTTAAGGGCCTTTGGGCAAGCAAGACGATAAGGACCCGTTGAACTATGTAAAGACCAAATAATAAAAGTTAATTTGTAGCATATACTTAGTTTGTATAAAAGATAACGATAGTACAACAAGAAAATTAAAAGAACAATAATTGTTATGATTACCTCAAATAAAAATATAATGCTTCAGTGCCTTGTAAAAAACCGTCTTTAGACATTTATTGATGTAAAATCTTTAAGAACAATATAAAGATTAATGTGGTCCAAAACATTCTTTCCAATATTTTACTTTTCTGAGCGCCCGATAAATGCTTCTTAGGCAGCATCTAATAAGTATCTAAATAAATACATTGAATTAGAACTTTATAACCATGCCTCTGTACAAGTAAAGCGCATACACAAAACAATTAAACAAATAAGAAAAAATAGGCTTCAATACGGTAATGTCCCTGGTGCTAGCTTCCAGAGGTCCAAGTAAAAAATTGGAAATTGGAAAATACTAATCGGTCATGGGTATTGGCATGTTGGGGTTGCTTACCGTCCTTGCATGCAGTTGCAGCTCGCGCCGTCGCGGCACCACGGCGGTGTGCCGGTGTGCGGTGCGTCGGCGAGTCGGCGACCACGTCGGGTGAGTCGGCGTCTCCACGCAAGAATAGTGCGTCCACGTCGATGAGCAAGAACAGGAAGCGCCGACGCCGGTGGAAAACGAACGCTAGCTCCTCGCTCGATCCGCGGCCTGCGCGGCAGAATGGAAATATGTAGGTATGGTACGACATGGGCTGATGTTTGTTCGGCGTTTGAAAGCTTATGCCAAATAAGAAATTATATCTACTAATTACCTATATGCTCTTGGGCCCCTACCTCCTTGGGCCCCCGGCGGTTGCACCGGCTGCCCTCCCCCCTAGAGCCAGGCCTGCCTGAAGTTAAACAATTTAACAGTACTATACAATTTCTAACGAAAAACTGGACATGGCACACTTACTTCTTGTGTATCTCTGCTTTGTGTGACGGGCTTGTTTTCATTATTCTGCAGTGTGATATGCTGCAAATAGTAATTTGGTATATCTTTAACGATGTGCCATCTCACAGGAAAGCATCCGGTCCATTTATCCAGACACTAGAAGTCCATGTCCTTGTGAAAATCTACAGGTCCAACCATCTCAGCCATGCCATAGAAGTTCCCGCTACCATTGACCTGATAATAAACACAATTGCAAATTCAATAGTTAAACTTTGTGCACAAAGAATTTTTCAATAAATAAATACTCACATATAAGAACAAGAAAACTGGACACTTGGTAGATGTTGATATTTCACAAGGATCATGCATATAACTTTGTGCAAATCCAAATGATCACTTCTTGGGTCATGCATATATCGCCTCACAACACTTACTATGTATGATATGTCAGGCCTCGTATTGCACAAATAGATAAGGCGCCCAACAAGCCTTTGGTATCTTTTTTTATTTACTAGATTACCTGATTCGTCACACAACTTGTGATTTAGATCAATAGGTGTTGATATTGGTCGACATCCGTGCATGCCTGTCTCACTTAACATGTCTAGAACATGCTTTCTTTATGAAAGAACAATCCCCCTTGGATTCCGTGCAATCTCAATACCTGTCCAAGGTCCATGACTTCAAATTCCTTACTTATGTTCAACTTGAGCTGTATGATATCTCTTTCATCATCACTAGTAATGATAATATCATCCA